GTATTGGAAAATCCATGGAAATATTTCGAATTTCATTTTAAAAAAAGTGATTTTTATGTGACTCAAAAATTCAGAATGAATAAAAATGCATGGAGTGTCTTCATTAAGATATTCTGTAGAATTTCAAAATTGCCTTGAACTTTTATTACAATTCGATAAAAAAAAGTCATTTCTTTTTTGCGCTCCTTCCACAATAGATTATGTAACTATACCGCGTCATTTTATTGGAGATATTCCGCAGACTAAACCTAATAGATTTTTATTTTTTCCATTGGAATTCTTGGGCGTGAGTTTTTTTTTGTTGGATTTTCATTTGCTATCTTGCGATAAAATCCAGGAAAAAAAACACGCAGATAATAATTCTATAATTGCTTTATAATTCAATTCAATTCCAATGACTTTTCAGAGAATTTCGAAATTCCGTGATTTTTAACACTGAATATTGGTCTAATAGTGTAAGCCATTAGATATTGTGTAATTATTTTATTAGGTATTTGAGGGAAGTTAATTCTCCACTTTTACATCGAAAATAATTATAAAATTGTTGAAACACGAGCTGTGAAAAATGCTGAGAATTTAACAGTGAAAAATATAGTTTTCGACCCACATGTTAACAACGAAAGGCCCTACGCTGTCGGCGTTCTCTTGGAAACTGAAGGTCTCCGGATACTCAAACACAACATTAATAACTCAAGAATTATGAGTGTTAGAGATATAAATTGCTACCCGAGGTATTGGGAATGGAATTTTTTGCCTGTAAAACGTTCCAAGTCTCGAGGGCACACCACCACCTCTTTTTGAGTTATGGTAATTCCTACATTAAAATTAAAAACCATGAATTTTCTATTGCATAATTATTCTCCTGAAATCAGAAAAAACTTCACTGCAACTTTATTTTATAAAAATTAAATATATTATAACATTGAATACGAAAGGCAGAAGATGATAATTGGATTAATTTTTCAAGAGAAGAATAAATATCTGAAATTGGAGGATTCCAAGAAAAAAATTATCCTAAATTAAAAATAAAGACATTCATTGAGAGCTACCGAATATTTTCTTTTTTTTTTAATTAAGGGGAGGAATTCAACGATGTGCGACACCCTCTCAGTCAAAACTTGCGATAACTGGAATGATTTTGTTTTCAACTGAGCCATGAATTTATTTCATACATTGTAATATTATTCTTTTAATATATTTATATTTATTTATGTTAATAAAATACGAAACCCGCTAACTCAGGATTACTAGGCAGAAATGAAGTAGACGAGCCGCAGCAAACGCATGTGCTAACATGGGCTTATATGGGATAGAATCTTTTAAATAATTCGCATTTAACGTAATGTCTCACATTACCGCCGGTTTTTATTAATATTTTATAGTCTTTTTAGAGGCTTTGCGGTAGGTAAATGAACAATTTGACCATAACTTCCATAAGAGCCCATGTAGAAAGAAGAGTTTGTTTATTCATTCCTGTCGAGACTAAAGCGATTAATCTTTTCAACATAAAACAAATCACTAAAGAAATTACACGGAGAGAAATATTCATGAAAAAAAATATTCATGACGTATATGTTCTAAAATTCCGAAGCGAAATGTGATTGGGAGAATTTTTCGAAATTGAGAGCTATTAAAGAATTTGTTTATTGCGTTCCATAATTATTATCTGAATTCCCCGTGAAAAATCATGACGCGAATTAAATTATTTGAGTGGCTTCCACAATGAAGGAATCCTTGAGTTGCTGATTCGTTCATAATATTTGTCTCGATGGTGTTAGAAGCTATTGAAATAAGAAAATAATGAAATTGTGTGAAAGCATCTTGAGAAATAGTACTTACAATATTTTCCGGAGCAATGGGTTTGTGCATATCCCAGCAGGCAATGGCATGTTCCTGAATGAGGCCAAAGAAGAGTACTCCACTGGCTGAAAAGGCCATACCAGCAGCTTGACTGGGTAATGCCCCCGATACAAGTGTATAACGTACAGGAGCTGAATGAGACTGATGGAGATTAGATGTCTCAGCAGATACCATATCGAAAGATGCGAGTGGTCGGAGCATGAGATGCCTATAATTTTCCCTCGGACTGACAGGAGGACTCAGTGCCATCCCGAGGACACCATCATCGAGGTAGAAATGATCACCAGCTACAGTGAAATTAGCTGCTGCCTCTTGAAACGCAAATGCTGGTGACTCCAGACGCCACAGGGTTGTCCCGTTGTAAATGACTAGACCATTTCCCGTCGTGTCTGCCATGTAGACCTGCAATCATCAAGTAATTATAGTCATACCACTGCACTCTTTGGTTTATTATTTTATCGCTTTAATTTGTGGAAAGTGCAGCGGAGGCAATTCAAATGGCTCGATCAACTTACGTGGGTTTTCTCGCAATTAACACCCTCAGTCTCCACCACAGGGGTCACGAACAATCCCTGATTTGTTAGGGTATTCCTGGCTATGCTCCTGGGGATTTTCACTCGTTTTAGTAAACGATCGGTGTGGAGATCGAAGGCAAGCAGTTGGGCTGGACACACGTGCTCTTCCTCGATTTTACCAGTGTCCAATACCCACAGCCGATCGCATTCATCGATCTGGATGAGAGTAAGCAAACTGTTAGAATAATTCTACCCTCCAGCGACTCTAC